CTGGTGAACTGGAGACCTGTCCATGTGTCTCTGGTGAACTGGAGACCTTTCCATGTGTCTCTGGTGAACTGGAGACGTGTCTCTGGTGAACTGGAGACCTGTCCAGGTGTCTCTGGTGAACTGGAGACCTGTCCATGTGTCTCTGGTGAACTGGAGACCTGTCCATGTGTGTCTGGTGAACTGGAGACCTGTCCATGTGTCTCTGGTGAACTGGAGACCTGTCCAGGTGTCTCTGGTGAACTGGAGACCTGTCCAGGTGTATCTGGTGAACTGGAGACCTGTCCAGGTGTATCTGGTGAACTGTATAATGGTAGGGGAAACACTGGGATGCACCGGATTCCCCACCTGGCCAGCAGTGGTTACAAGTCTTTAATTAGACTGAATTCTGCTCGTGTTTCTTTTTGTTGGTTCTTACCTTCTTGTATTGTGGTGATGTTTGGCAGTCAGTGAGCCAACCAGCAGTTTGGGGGTGAAGTGAAGGAGAGTCTACTTCTTCCTTCTTGATGGATTTCTTATATTTACAAGCTTTATAAAAGGTACATTTTTAAGCGCAGGTGTTTTCTTTTTAATTATCATCTAACTACATTAAGGACTTAATGTATGTATTGTAATCAGAGTTTTAAATTGGCATATTCACTGAAACTGCTGTTTTAGTACAAGCTGCAACAAGAGTCATATTTGTTAATCAGTGCTTTATTTCACTCGAGTCTTTAAATTAAGGCTTGATTAGGAGATGAACTGTTTTCTCATTTGTCTGAAAAACAGCTACAAATCCTCACAACCTCCATTAACTTAGTTGTTAATGATAGAAAAAAGGACTGGAGGAAAAAAAAATGTTATTTTTCTTCTAATTTGTTCACTGACGTCTCTGCTACAGCTGGTGGCCGGCAGTGTGGTAATGGCCTTTGAGGAGGTGTGCCCAGATCGCATCGATCTGATCCACAAGAACTACAGGAAGCTGTGCAACCTGCTGGTGGATGTGGAGGAGTGGGGCCAGGTGGTCATCATCAACATGCTGACGCGATACGCCAGGACGCAGTTCACCACACCCTGGAAAGAGGTCAGTTTATTAAATGAAATATTAAGATGAAGCACAAGCCAAAGAGATCATTTCATCTTCAATAAATGTCAATAACAAATAAAAACATTGTCATTTAAAACATCAACTTTCCTGCCAGCCGTTCATTTTTATGTTGTAGTTCAGACAGGCATGCATCTGTAGCGCCTCGAGGGAGCTCGGCACTCCCCCCGTGACATAAAACTCTGTTTCTCTCAATGTCCGGCTGATGATCAAATCAAAGTCCAAATACTTTATCCTGCTGTGTTCACTTCAAAAACATTTTAACTGTGTTGTTTAGCTTCTCCATTTATTTACTGTTTATTTTCGGGACCTGCCCTGCTGTTCGACCCACAGTTCTGCAAATCAGGTTCTGGATGCAGGTCAGCTGACTCTGTGCAGCAGCTTCATATCATCTGTTTACTGAACTTTATGACAACATAAAGGCTGTTGTTAAGTGTTGGG